CTTCATTACCCATTCAAGCCGTCTCCAGCCATTATTAGTCTCAAAGTGGGTTCCTCGTCATCGAATTCGAAATCGAATTTAACATTATTATGGTATTCTTGAGGGTTGAAAAATAATTAATATTGTTACGTCTCTGGTCATTTGTTAATTTCCCGTAAAAATTCTTTCCGAAGAACTTCAGCGATACAAGTCCTTTCTTAATTAAAACTAGTTTATTATTTTTCGATACAACTTTATAATAAACTTAATTTCCACAGTCACTTTAACTTAAACATACGCTATAATTCACAACGATTCACGCACTTTACTTACGACTTGACTGGATTATCTGTCTTTATATCTCCCTATCTGCAAATTATATCTCCGCTTTATTTGCCGGGCTTATATTCTAAAAAAGAGGGCGCCTAGAAAAGACTAGAGTTACCAGGAAAAAGTCAAGATCCTTCGAGAATCTCATGACGTGTTACCAGCGTCACTTGACTTCCGCTGTCGTAACAATATGCTGATTCAGGTGTACTCAGTACAAGAATGCAACGCAAACAAAAAATAAATACCATATTTCTGTAATGTCCTTTTCTACTAAATTTTCATCATTACATTTTCCTTTCTTTTTTTTTCAGGTTTGTTCCCTGTGAAGCTTTCATCATATTCGTCAAAGGTTTAGTCTGAAATAGGTCTTCATTTGAAAAAAGTTAGTTAATTTCGTTGCAAAACTGAAACAGGAAGTTAAAAATCTTTCCCGCTTTAACAAACAGTAGCAACAACAAAAAATAAAAGACTGTTAGTCTGAACATATTTAGTTGTTGCCCTACCGTGTGAGAAAGCAAATAATACTCGTCCAGTTGTAAAGATTTGTCTACTAAAGAATGGGAAGATACACAGGAAAGAAATGTCGGTTGATAGGAATGCTCTCATTAACAGGCAGTTATTTCCTAGTTGAAATCATTGTAGGCTACTTAACAAATTCGACAGCTTTAATAGCTGATTCTTTTCATATGCTCTCGGACGTCATTGCTCTTGTCATCGCATTCCTGTCAATAAAGGTGAGTCTCGAATATTAAATAAATTAATCGGATAATTAAGGGCTGATCATTCTTCTGTTGTTTTTTTATTTCTACTTTTTAGGTAGGTGGAGCTGAAAACAAAATGGATTCGAACATTCGTCGTTGCTGACCTATTAGTTACTTTAAAGTAATTGAGCTTCAGGGTTTCAGAATCCAGGGAACCTTGATTAAACCTATAATGTGAGGTCATGGGCGGTACAATAGTTCAATGTGAGTCCCACAGTGGGATAACGGTAAGTTTACGGACGTACAATCCGGGATTTGATTCCCAGCAGTGGACACAGCAGGTAGACCAATGTGGCTTTGCCTTTAAAAAATATCAGTGGGCCAGAGCAAACTGTTAGCTCAGTATAGACTTTGGTTAGAATTTCTTTTAGCAAATTTAATCTAAATTACCTTATCTATAGCCACAGTACTGACTCCAGCTAAGCTGGAAAAGTCACTACTATGACTTTATATACAGGACCAAACTTATGGCCCAATATGAGGCCATTAGTCATATATCCTAACAGATCAAACACTCTAACATCACATATAAAGTAGAAATTTAACATATGTTTACAGATTAAGAGAAATGATCATGACAAAGTGATTTCTTTTTTAACTTCTTCTTCTTCAGAAAGCAAAACAGTAAACTTACAGAAGTTGAATACATTATATTAAAGCGAATTTGGAACCTTACCATGTCTGGCCATGCTGCTTTTGTCGAACGTCCTTCTTGAAAATAGCACTGTAACGAAGTTTTCATTGTAAAATTCTCCATCGTAAGGTTGTAATTTCCAAAGAATACCACTTCTACACGCAAGTTTTCCACAAGTCGTCTAATGCGCAATGATGACAGTTTCACACTGCTGTGAAAAGTCTTATAAAACAGACATTCGTAGGTGACTTAACCAATATGTCTTTATATAGAATAGCATATGTGTCCATTTCATTCTGAAACTGATTGGGTGTGTAAAATTTGATCAAGTATCTCGTGGAAGCAACTTGTGTACACGTGATTTATGGTAGGGACTGGTTTCAACATGGTGGGAGAGTAATACTATACACCTTGTAGATTAATGTGAAGTAGGGACTGGTTTCAACATGGTGGGAGAGTAATACTATACACCTTGTAGATTAATGTGAAGTAGGGACTGGTTTCAACACTGGGATCTACATGTTTGTAGCTAAGCACAAAGCTACACAATAGGTTATCTATGCTGTGTCCACCTCAAGAATCTAAACTCGGTTTTAAGCACTACAAACTTTTAGACCTGCTGCTATGCCACTAGGGAATATGTCAAATGCTTCAAGTCGTTTGATAATCATAAAATTATCTCCCTTACTTATTTCTTGTAAATGTCATATAATAATTATATTTAAATACTGTTACTACAGGATAAAATAAATTATATAACTACATTGTTCCTTCGTTTTAAATATTAAAAGATCTTAAGTAATTTACAAATATTTTACTGATTAAAATCAAGAGAATTCAATTATAGATAATATACAACATTATCTAATCTAAAGGCACAGGAATGATCTTTTGGTTGTAAATGTTCATGTGCCACTATTCTTGTGATCTGAACACACTTAAACACTCCAACATGAATACAATAGAGCAACTAAAGATATGTTCATAGAATAAGAAATAATAATCAGTCAAAAAGTAGTAAAATTATTGTTCTCCTTCTTTAGATTAACATTAAACTTTGCGTTGTTGAAAATTATAATTTAAAACAAAATGTAGTGATATCTGAGCAAAACACTTCAAATGTAAGAAACAACCGAGTTAGAATAAAAGGACCAATCATATAAACATGTTATATCTACAAAAACAGCCAACGTTCATAAAATTCCAAATTCTGTATACTGTTATGTCTCTGTTCGTTTGTTAATTTCCCGTAAAAATTCTTTCCGAAGAACTTCAGCGATACAAGTCCTTTCTTAAATAAAACTAGTTTATTCTTTCTCGATACAACTTTGCAATACACAGAATTTCCACAGTCAATACGTTTGCGATCTCGATAAAAAAAACACACACTTTATATTACCGTCACTACCGCTCACTTGACTCAATTATCTGTCTCTATCTCTGCCTATCTGCAATTTTTTTCCAGGCTTATATATATTAAAATAGAGGGCGTCTGGCAAGCACTCGGGCCTTCATGACCCTTCTAGAAACTCATCACGTGTTACCAGGGGCACGTGACTTCCGCTGTCGTAACAATCCCCAAACACTAATGTGCAAAAACAGACAAGTTATATAAAAATGCATAAATAGGTAAATATTTAATGTTAAAATGGCTAAGTTAAATATAACACAGCTGGGACCAACTCGGCAACTAATTTTTCAACAAGAATTAGTGGTAATATGAATTAACTAATACAAAATAAAATGAATATATGATGTTTCAGAAAACAGTGTGAGTCCTATAAGTACAGTGATTTAGTTTTATCAGAGTTAGTCTACAAGACACAGGTGAGAACAAAATACCCTCTCTATATTTAAAGGGGCACAATAGTGGTTACCATTCTAGGTATATAACTTATATTTCATTGGCTACTAAGCAACATCATCTATCATCAGTATACGAACTATAAAAACTAAAATGTAATACAAATATCACTGTGTAAAACTAGTGCAAAGATGGTGACTGACTGAGAGCAAGATTTTAGGCCAAGTCCCAGTTGACAGAATCGTCCATAGTGGTTAAGATTCGTTTGGAAGACGATGATTAACTGAAAGCATGTGATATAATCTGATAATCGCGTTTCAACCTTTTTTTTTCACCTTTTACTGTACTGACGACAGAGGAAAAATGTGGAATGAACACAATGTGGCACTTGACCCATCCCGATCGTGTAAGCTGCTGGAGAAAAAGTTATAGTTTAGGTGATGTTCTGGGGACACGGACAGGATGGGTTCTTTTATTCCTTTAGAAAGTAAATAACATCCAGGGTGTACTTGAACATTGTTGCCTGTTAAATCCACCACACAATAGTGCATTTCCCCTCTGGTTGGCATGGGTTTTACCAAAATAATAATGAAACAATTCACCAGAGTCATAATACCGAAAAGTGATTTAAAAAATGACAGTGACTCTAGTCACATTCCTTAACCAGAATAATCCCCGAACCTCAATCCAACTGAGCATCTTTAAGATGAACGTAAAAATCATCACAGAAATCTTCTGCTGACATAGGTGAACCAATTATAACGATATTCCTCTATGTTTAGCTAGAACAGAGAAATACAATCTTTGGTATTTAGTGGTGTCTACGTCATGCTTAGTTCAGGCTATTACTGGAAGTAAAAGTGGTCTAGCTTTTCATAAGTTCGAGGCCATACTACAGTATAATTCACCTTTGGAATTAAGTCTTAATGCTTCTTGTGTTGTTATTTCTGCAGCTATGTATTGTTCAAAGATGTTTTTAGTCTCCATTACAGTACTAATTCAAGACAAACCTAAACTTGTCACGAGAAAGTAAGTTATAAACGAGTAATGTCAGTTTTATAAAATATAGTTAAAAGTTTGCTTTGATGTATTCCTAACAGACTTTGTGAAAAGTCAGAAAAGGTATGTTTGAGTTTACATGTCCCTAATTTCATCTACTGTTTGGTTTTTCAGATGTCACCCAAAAAGTGGTCGAAGAACACTTTTGGCTGGGCCAGGTCCGAAGTCTTGGGTGCGTTAGTAAATGCTGTTTTTCTTATAGCTCTTTGCTTTTCCATTTTTGTGGAAGCTTTGAAACGTTTCTTTGATCCCGAGGAAATTTATGATCCTGTCTTGATCCTTTACGTGGGGGGTTTCGGGTTACTTGTAAATATTATTGGCTTGTTCCTCTTCCACGGTGAGTTTCATCTGTTTCTTATTGATCATTATAGTTCCTTACTTACTTTGTTTACTTCCTAGTTATTTATTGATCATTATAGTTCCTTACTTACTTTGTTTACTTCCTAGCTACTTATTGATCATTATAGTTCCTTACTTACTTTGTTTACTTCCTAGTTACTTATTGATCATTATAGTTCCTTACTTACTTTGTTTACTTCCTAGCTACTTATTGATCATTATAGTTCCTTACTTACTTTGTTTACTTCCTAGTTACTTATTGATCATTATAGTTCCTTACTCACTTTGTTTACTTCCTAGTTACTTACTGATCATTATAGTTCCTTACTTACTTTGTTTACTTCCTAGTTATCTTCCAGTAGTCTAAAATTAATTCAAATACAGATACAGAGCATTAAAATATTAAAGAATTAACCATCAATTAAACAATTTTGATGTATAATTTAATATATTTTGTAAACAGATAGTAAGACTACTCCGTTTTCAAGAATATCCAGAATAAGATGACACAGTTACTTTGCTTATAATATACACAATTAAAATAGATCTGGATTGTCCAAGGGTGCACTTGTTTAACCTGACATTTTTCTTTCTAACATCATAAGAGCACGGTCATAGTCACGGTGGCCATCATCATGATGGAAAGTCCACCAAATCCTCTAGTGTAGAGCAACTAAAAGAAAACGACACACAAAAAAACGAAGCTATTTTCAGCATAGATATGAATACACCTGCTGTAGATGGAGCTCAGAAACCTAAGAAAAAATTGGGTAAATACTTGATCTATGTATATTTTGCTTCGGATAGTTTTAATCTTCACCATTACTTAAGTTTGAGAAAATGTGTAAAATATATTTATATTGTACAAGATAATGTTTTACTTACCAGTTACAAACTTATTTATATAATATGTTAGTTTTTCAATCATCTGATATTTTGTTATTAAGCACAAGTTAACAAGCTGTGCTATGTTTCGAAACCCGGTATTTACCGCAAGTTTTCCAGTTGTCATCATTCTTGTAAAAAAAAAGAAGTTGTCACCATACTATAGTGTCTGATACGAGTTACTATTTACAAATATTAAATCTATAATTGTATGGTACTTAAGTTACTTTACCTAAACACTTGGCCCAGCATGGCCAGGTGGATAAGGCGCTCGACTCGCAATCTGCTGGTTGCGGGTTCGAATCCCCGTAACACCAAACATGCTCGCCCTTTCAGCCGTGGGGCGTTATAATGTGACGGTCAATCCCACTATTCGTTGGTAAAAGAGTAGCCCAAGAGTTACCGGTGGGTGGTGATGACTAGCTGCCTTCCCTCTAGTCTTACACTGCTAAATTAGGGACGGCTAGCGCAGATAGCCCTCGTGTAGCTTTGCGCGAAATTCAAAAACAAACAAACCTGAACACTTACATTATTTTTATCATCTTAAGTCACTCCAATGAAATATATAATACAATGGAAACCAGATGTTATCGTGTGGAGTTTAAAAGATATTAAGATAACCTAAATTTAAGGGAAGTGTGAAATTTCACACAGACACAAAACTAACGGACTTCAACGTTATAATTTACACTAAAGTGCAATGCTTACGTCACCAAACGGGTTGCTAGTAGTAAATAATATTTCATTAAGACCCTATAAATTGAATTTATAAGAAAAATTTTTGTTTCCATTATATATGTGTGTGTGCTGGTTAAACGTCCGAGAAGTGCATGGAGTGCAAATCGATCAGCTCGTTATAGATATTTTTTGTGTACTTTGTGATTACTTAGGCACCTTCAGCAACAGTTCTTCGCTAGTTTTAGATACTGCAAGTAACACATGAATATATTTTGTGATAATTAACCACATCACTACTTTAAATTAAAGCGTATTGTTGAGGTTGAGTGCACAGTTTTCAATACAGAAAGTTCCGTCGTAAGGTTGTCACGTCCAAAGCACACCACACCTCTCTGAATACTAAATAATGGTGTATAAAGACGATCGGTTCCCAGCACTGAAATCCATAGGTGCTGCTTTTGGTGACTTAGCTGGAATGTCTCAGTAAAGAATAGTATGAATACCCCTTTATTCTTCAACTTCTTGACGTATACGACGGTTGAAAGAATAATATGTTGTGGAAGAAATTTGTGTAGTTTTGCCATTGATCTTTGGGGTCGTGGATTCTCACCTGTTACAAGACGCCACACTCTGTTTCAGTAGAACTTTAGGCAAAGTAGGTTTGAGAACTCTAATGGACTACAACGGCCTGTTGATAGCTAAAACGTCGTCTCCTTTTATTTCAACGGGCAGGTGTAGTCCATTAAAGATTTCAAACCTACTATGCCACACTTTGCTTATCACGACTGGGGTACGACTTATTTCAAGTCTCTTTGAGGATGTTCCTTGTACCCCAAGATGATCCCTATTCCTTTGTTTTCCATTAAGTACAAGCTATATCCCTGTCTTGGAAATTTCTAACTCCTCGATCTGAAGACACCTTCGCGATCTGAGTGTGAGAATATTTTGTGTCGGAGAGGGTTGTTACATATCCTTCCCACTCTGTGTATATTTTTTATAACAGATAATTTATTTAAGTTTATTTATACGTGATTCATTTAATGATACATTTTCAGTTCGACTTCCCCTTAGCGCCATAAAGAGTCAGTTAGCGGTATAACATTTCATACGCATCATATTCCTCACGTGAACATTATGTATAGCACAGAGATCGTAATTATCGTGTATTTGACGAACATGCCCCCCAGTGTCACAGCGGGATGTCTGCGGACTTACAACGCTAAAAACCTAGTTTCGATACCCGTGGTGGGCAAAGCACTGATAGCCCATTTTGCAGCCTTGTGCTTAACTACAAATAAATTGACAAAAATTTTAGAGGTTATACCCTCCCCTCTCTCCAAAAACAAGAGAAAAATATACATAGCTCGCATCGAGACGGTGTTTATATTATGGGGAAAAATTAAGATCGTAGTTTCTAGAAACGTGTAAAATTTTTGTTTAATATAACTTCATTCATTAGAAAATAGAGATTTGGTTACCCCGATGATTTAAATTAACAAGTAATAGATGATTTATTCACAAATTAAATGGCAATCTGTTTTTCAATTTTTTCCTTACAAGTGTTGATGCTTCATGGTGCCGCCCCCCAGTGGCACAGCGATACGTCCACGGACTTACAACGCTAAAATCCTGGTTTCGATACCCGTGGTGGTCAGGGAACAGATAGCCCATTGTGTAGCTTTGTGCTTAATTACAAACAAACAAACAATTCATGGTGCCTGTTTAAGAAGAGGAAAACAAGCGCTTTTCGTCCGCATTTTACAAATATACTTAGTTGAGTATCAAAGCATTCCTTAAGACATTCAGTAATTATTACCATGCGAAAAAAACAAGATATGCCATTAAAATGTTTCGTTGTTTATCAAAATCTGTTCTACACATTATTACTTCTTTTCTCATACAGGTTTTTTTTTATTTTCAATTTTGAATATTTTGCTGTAATAGTCTATTTCAATTCATTTAACTACTAACTAAACATATTAAATCTATGAATGGCTTTATATTCCGATATGTTGCTTATTTTGGTACCTACGTACTTGACCAAAGTTTACACGTAATCAAGATATTTGTATGATATCCATGTACATATGAGCATACGTACTAGCCTATCACAGATATATAGATAAGAAATTGGGTCACAAAACATGAGTACAAACTTGTAAGTACAAAAATTATTGCTTTCGTTACGTAACCTAAGTTAGTGGGCACGTGGTCGGCACGTATGTTGAATTATACCAATGTTTGTTACATTGTTAGTTGTTATCTTCATCCCTTTACCCAAGTCCGAAACTTAACACTATGACATTCGGGCATATGATGGGTTTCCTACATTCTATAGTAACAAAGAATTATTCTAATTTATTGATTATCCATTTTCTGCACGTGGTTCAAGGTGTCTAATATTATATTATTTTAGCCACCTCAGCCCTTTGTTCTTTTCTTGGATGACGGCTTCTGCCCACAAGGATATTTCAGAGTATTTTGGGCCTGGATTAAAATAAGTTAAAATTGGAATATCCTTTGCTGGCCGAACTGTGACGTCAACTGAAACTGATACCTGGCCAATGCTCTCAAGGAACAAAGGTTACTAGGTGATGCAGTCCACTGGACGAAGAAAGTAAGCTGATGTTTGAAATACAGACACATTTTCTTTGATTTGTTCTACTTGTTTATAGTTCGGTAGTGATTCATCATGAGAGACGAAAGGCTGGCGAGCTAGTCACTGATCGAGTAGATGCGACTGTCAACTTGTCTGTGTGATCGTCTCTCATGATGAATCACTACCGAACTATAGAAATTAGTGTGTATATCAGGCTGGCGAGCTAGTCACTGATCCAGTAGATGCGACTGTCAACTTGTCTGTGTAGATATACACACTAATTTCTATAGTTCGGTAGGGATTCATCATGAGAGACGAAAGGTGGCGAGCTAGTCACTGATCCAGTAGATGCGACTGTCAACTTGTCTGTGTAGATATACACACTAATCTCTATGTTGTGTCTAAATAAAAATTGTCCTGACTGTCATTTAAATATGTCCAATCTCTTTATTTCTCACGCAACTTAAAACTCAGTCAACTTATCAACTACAGAACACGCCTCTTTTTGATTGATCTGCTACTAATTGCGGGTCTGATACTTGTTGGAAAATCGGTTTTGTGAATATATTACAACACCCATCCAAAACTTTTTAAGATAGAAAGAAAGCATGCTTATAGCGTTACTTATTTCTTCACAAAGTAATAATAAATATATGTATTATCGGAACTGTGTAAGACACACTCTTCAATCTTAGCGGTCCTGATGGTTAGGGTTCTAGGCTCGCAAACTGCTGGTCGTGATTTCGAAACCGGCACCAGATATGTTCAACTTTTCATTCGTAGGGTTATAATAATGTGACGGTCAATCCCTCTATTCGTTGGTAAAGAGTAATCCAACAGCTGGCGGGGGTTTGTTTGTTTGTTTGTAATTATGCACAAAGCTACACAAGGGCTATCTGTGCTCTGCCCACCACGGGTATCGAAACCCGGTTTCTAGCGTTGTAAGTCCGCAGACATACCGCTGTGCCACTGGGGGGCGCAGGCGGGGGTGCTGCTTTTAGTCGGCAGTTCAAAGTAAGAGACAGTAGCAGATAGAAACATTTATTGGCTCAGACACTTGCTCAGCTAGGCTACAAAAATGGATTAAGTCTTTTGTAGCTATTCTGAGAAATTATAAGTTAAAGTATCTTTAGTTTCATTAGTCGCCTCACTAATTTGTGGCGCTGGTGTGCATTTGTTAATATTTTCTCAATTTTCAATACAAAATGCACAGAGACTAGAAACTTACACGAGTTATTTTTAGTATTAGGTTTGTTTGTTTGTTTTTAATTATGCACAAAGCTACTCAAGGGCTATCTGTGCTCTGCCCAACACGGGTATCGAAACCCGGTTTCTAGCGTTGTAAGTACGCAGACATACCGCTGTGCCACTTGGGGGGGCTTTAGTATTAGGATTGATAAAACTTTAGAATTATTTGTTTGTGGTAAAGTTACTGAAGATAAATTTATTGAATATTTATTTCTATGATAAATTTTGAACTTATAAAGGAATTGAGCCATTGCTGTAAACTGTACTTTTTCGAAGCCCCTTTCCTGGTATTGCTCTTATAAATCTACTATACTCATCAGACGACTACATTTTATAAAACTACAAGTAGATACTTGCTTATCCTACATAATTAATCTCAGACCTCAGATTGTAAATGGGTAAGCTCTTTTTCATTCGGAGGCTTGCTCATTCACAAGCTGAAGTCTGAGATTAGTTGTGTAAAATCTTCTGCATTGCTCAGCAGAGTAAATGCAGGATCAAGCTTCACTTTGAGTAATTTTGCTAACTTGGTTGATTCTGTGCAGAATATCATACCAGACAAGCAGAAATATCAAAAACGTGAAACTTGTTATCTCATTGATTCATTTTTAGTCTTTAGATTTCTGACTTCTTCGGACACTGCTACCAAAGCATTATAAAGACTTTCAAATTGATACCTCAGAGTCTTTCTATTTGGCATTCCTAGTGCTGTCTGTAATATCACTGACATTTTGCTTGAATATTCCCAATGCTGGATTGAAGCTGAAATCAACACATGCATGCAGTGTTATCCAGAAGATTGGGTTGCTTGCTGAGTTAATCCCATATTTGTTGGGGTGGTATTCCATAGAGAATCTTACAAGTAATCTCGCCAGAATAATATTCAACATGCTGTTCAGTTAATTTCTGGGTGTCTTCCTCTTCTTCGTTTATGACCTCTTGTTATTTATTTGCTCCAGAAACTGCCGCTGTTGCTCCTGCATTGTTATGGTCGAATGATGAAATCTCTTCTGAATTCATTACATCTGTTTGCAAAGCTGAGACATTGCTGAACTTAAAATGAATGATATACAAATATAAATTAGTACCATGTATTCTAAATATTGTTGTTCTTCACTTCATTACTTTATTTGAGGTGTCCAATTAAATATGGATGCTTATTTGTTTGTTTAGTTGTTAAGCACATACCTCCTACACAATGGGCTACTTGTGTTCTACTCATCGAGGGGACCAAAATTCGAATTAAAATGTATTTAAATAAATTATTTGTCGTTTCTATATTTATAGGACACTAAGCTCCCAAAACGCTAAAAATTTCAAGAGGGAGTTCCAAGACATGTACCATACTTTTTTTCAGCCTTCCATCCGTGGCTTTTAGGGATTTAGAAAGGGAAGTGGAAATGGTGTTCAAAATAAAATTTGTCTTTCTATATTACTTTACAGGAATTGACCCTTGATCAGAAAAAGAGAACTACGGTTGTCAGACTTCAGTTTTGATCATAGTGGGCGTTGTTTATATGCATTTTTTGTTCGTTGAATTTCGTACAAAGCAACTCGATAGCTATCTGTATTAGCTATTTCTAAATTAGAAGTGTACACTAAAAGCAGACATCCCGAAAAGAAAGTGTCAATATTTTGGACACATTATCAAAACAAATAAGATTTAAAAAAAAACTTTGATAGCGGGCAAGGTGGAAGGCTGTAGAACGAGAGGTCTACCAAAGAAGTGCCATTAGGCCTCGTATAATGGTGAAGTGAATCTAATATTTATAGGGTCTTGAGTTCGTATTACTTCACAATCATTAAACAGTTGGTTCGCTGTATAATATTGAATAATGAATTGGACGAAATGTCATAACATTATTCACATATCTAAATTAACTTAGGTTACTATATTGTGAAGTAAAACAAACTCAAAACCCCAAATATATATACTTCACCATTATAAGTAGCCTAATGATATTTATTTGGTTTGCTGACCCAAGCTGTGCAGATTAGCCTTTGAATAGGCGAAACTGCAGTCCACAGCAGAGAGTACGGCCAATCAAATAATGCATTAAGTCTCTACGTCACAGATCTCTTTTCAGTCTTACCTCTGATGGAAAATAAAAAAGATTTTAACATATTTATGCAAAAATTACTTTTATCAAAAATTTTAACATAACAAATACAACTTGTAAATCACATGATCTAAGCAACGGTGCCAAACAATTTTTTTTGGATAGTCTATGTGGACGGTGAATAAGATTGGGTAAAGGGATAAAAATCTTTTTATTGAATATTACTGTCTGAATAAATTGAAAATAATGTCTATAAAAAATTCTTACCTGTAGTGAGCGTAAATAATCCTGCAAGGGTCCTTGCAACACCTAAAGATCTGCTCAACGCCAACGATGAGGTTCGGAATAATATTATATTGTTAGCATTATAAATGATAAGGTACTAAGTCTAGCTTTTCATCGGGTGTACCAGTACTATCACTGAGCAAAGTTGATAGATATGACAGTTTCATGGCAAGGTGGTTAGGGCGCTCGACTCGCAATCCCACCAAACATGCTCGCCCTTTCAGCCGTGGGAACGTTAAATGTGACGGTCAATCCCACTATTCGTTGGTAAAAGAGCAGCCCAAGAGTTGGCGGTTGGTAGTGCTGACTAGCGGCCTTCCCTTTAGTCTTACACTGCTAAATTAGGGACGGCTAACGCAAATAGCCCTCGTGTAGCTTTGCGCGAAATTTATAAAAAACAAACAAACAGTTTCATTGGGTAGTTACGAAACTGAAACTTCCTATCGATGAAACGAAATTACTTTATATAAGCATAGAAATTTAGCAGTATCATAATAAACTAACCTTACATTTCTTACCTTTTAAGACAGTTGTAGACAGATGATACGAAAATACCTTATATAAACATAGAATTTAACGGCTTTATAATAAACTAACCTTTATTTACTATCTTTCAAGACAGTTGTAGACAGATGATAGGAAAATACTTTATATAAACACAGAATTTAACGGCTTTATAATAAAACTAACCTTTATTTCCTATCTTTCTAGACAGTTGTAGCCAGATGATACGAAAATACCTTATATAAACACAGAAATTCAACGGCTTTATGATAAAACTAACCTTTATTTCCTATCTTTCTAGACAGTTGTAGCCAGATAATAGTAAAATTCCTTACATAAACACAGAAATTCAACGGCTTTATGATAAAACTAACCTTTATTTCCTATCTTTCTAGACAGTTGTAGCCAGATAATAGTAAAATTCCTTACATAAACACAGAATTCAACGGCTTTATGATAAAACTAACATGTATTTCCTATCTTTCTAGACAGTAGTACCCAAATGAACATGAAAGGAGTTTTTCTTCACGTGTTGACTGACGCTCTTGGATCTGTGATCGTTATCATCAGCGCCTTGATCATTTGGCTGACATCCTGGGAATATCGATTTTATGTTGACCCAGCATTAAGGTAACGGATTACAAAGTTAATACTTTTCCTTGCGTAATTTTAACCCTAAACAATCACACATCGTTAACTTCATTTGCAAATTACGAAATAACTTTATTTTTGAACGCTTCATCCCAGCATTTACTCAGGAATATATGGGTTTTTCCTCCCCCTCAATTAACGCTTAGTTTTCAAACTAATTTCCTGTGGAAGTAATTTCAAATTAACTGATATTTTTAGCGCATGTGTACCACATATTTGTTATTTGATTTCTTGGTTACGTTTTTAATCTCTCTTAAAATAATAATGAATAATAAAATATAACTTGGAAAGTATTCGTCTTTTTTATATAATTTTCTTACAGTGTCTAAATGATAAAATTTTTTACTTTGGTCTTGTATTTTAGCGTTATTATGGTATGCCTCATCATGGCGTCAACGTGTCCTTTGTGTGAGTATTAAAATCAATGATTTTGTTTATTATTACATTGTCTACACTTCACTTTGACAGCATTCCTACAAAATGTTGATGTAATCTACGTATTACATAAGACATGTTACTCTCGTAAACCGTGAACATTTTTTTTCCGTTTTAAATTGTCTAATTAATCAGAATATATCAACATTATATAGAGTGATATTATTTTTCCATTTACTCATGATAATAATAGATTTTAAATTATAGCCACAGCTAACGTGATTCAACAAATAATCTGTTGTTCAGGTAACAGTCTAACTTGATGAATGATATTATTTTGATCAACTAACATACAAGAAGTAGAAACACGAACAGAGGCTTATAAATGAACAAGAATTATTATGTTTCTTTGAGGCTTAATATGGTTTTAATGAGAATGAAGTAAATAACTTCTCTCTACTGATAGCTATTAGATGGGTTCATATTGTAACACGGGTAAAAATATCAAACATTGTAATGTTGATAAGGGTTAACAATCATATATTTTAGAAGGTATTGTTAAGTGCTCGTCAAATATATATACAGTCTTTTTAACAGGAAAGAAACCTGTCTTTGTAAAGAGTTCATGTCCGAGAATGACTAATGCACGATTAAATGAAATAACAACGTTAACTTCCCAATGCAGTGAATGTTGATACATAATGTGCTACGATAAAAGAAAGATTATCTCAAAATATGAAATATTCAGTATATTTCTTAAGATGATAAAACTTTAATTATAATAAGTGTAATGTTTTTCTTGTGGTTTCATCAGAGAAATATATCTTGAAAAAGTTCAATTCCTTTTTATATTTTTGCTTTATGAACGTAAAGTGTTTAAAACTTTCTTTTGTGTGTGAATGTGCGTGTAATATTATTTATGTTGTGTGTGAATGCACGTGTATCTTTTTTTTTCTGCTGGCTTTGAACAACTGCGGAAGTTACTTTATAATTGTCCACTTTTGTTACGTCAGTGGCAGATTCCGCCAGGATTTTATTGCAGACAGTTCCAACGCACATTGAAGTAAATAACTTAGAAAAGAAACTACTTCAAAAGGTAAGTTGTAGTCCTATTTCGTGAACTTGGATGAAACACCATCTCTAAAGTGAATTTTTTAATGACACGAACGAGTTTTATTTGATTGATAGTTGGTTGTTCTGCTTCTATTTTTTATTTATTTTTTGTCACATTAAGCTATAAACATTGTTACCATTACCCTTGATATTCATGAGATTTTTAAAGCACCCATGTAAAAAAATCTAAGTGAAATCGTAAATTCTATTTAAGAGTCTGGCCCAAATGCAAGATCTTTTAGTTTGTTACCCAAAATCTGAAATCCATAACGTTAGGATTCATACTTAAATAATGAAGTAGCAGGATTCTAGCTTTGTAAGTCCGCAGACATACCACTGGGGGGCAAGTAGCAGAATGCAAGTTGTGCTAGTACGTCGAGCAAGATGACGTAACTGCCGATACATCAAGTAAACAACTAAGTAGTTAATGCGACAAAATAGTGCTAGGAAGAATGGTGTATTATAGCAGACACATATGTGTAAGAAATCTGTCACCATAGTTGATTTATAGAGAAAACAGATATTGGTCATAATATATTGCTGCTATTAAAATAAATCACTTCGATCATATTGTTACAGGCAACTGGTTTATTCTTGAAAAGCTTAATAGTTATACCGATTTCCCAAAAGGCGACACTGAACGTTAATAACTCACTAATAATGTAACATGTAAATGTCTGGAAAAGTTAAAACGCGGGAATGTTAAACCAGTAGTGAAAAAATAATCTTAACTAAACATCAATTTTAAAATGTTCATGTTCAAGTAACTGAAGAAAACATCTTTGATTATACATGTAATGTTGATATATGGAAGGCAGAGGACCATTATGAAAAATGTTGTTTTTTTACTTCTCAGGTCGATGGGGTGCTAGCTGTTCACGAGTTCCACATCTGGCAGCTGACTGGAGAGCGAATCATTGCTTCGGCCCACATTTTATGTCGTGATGTGCATCAGTACATGGAAACTGCTGAGAAAGTGAAAGAATTTTTTCATGAACAAGGGATTCATTCAACAACGATTCAGGCTGAATACATTGAGTCAGAATACGTTGTAAGATGTATTTATTGTCGTAATTTTTCCGATTTTTTACGATCATTTTTTGCATATACATATATTTGCTGGAGTACCCGTCTCCTGGATGGAAGTTATGTAAATTCATGATTAATGAAATGTTACCTTAGAACATGAAAATATGTTTCCCTTATATGTAATTGTAAAAAACGCCCACAAAAACTGAAAACACAAAATGTGAAACCGCAACTTTGGACGTATCTCCACATGGATCAAAAAACATTTCATGCCAAATCTGGTGAAGATCCATCAACAGTGAGCAAAGTAGTGATAAAAAACGCCCATGAAAACCGCCAAACTGAATTTTTTATGTATCTGCCCATGGACCCAGTGAACCTCCATTCCAGATTTGGTGAAGATCCATCCACAGGAGCTGAGGTAGTGGTAAAAAACATAAAAACGCCCATAAAATCCAAAAAACTCAAAATTGAATATTTGTATGCATCTCAACATGGGTCTAATGATCCTCGATACCAAATTTGGTGAAGACCCATTAACAATGGGAAAAATAGTGGTAAAAAACGCAAAAACGCCAATAAAAACCACAAAAAAGTTCAGGAGTCGGCAACCCTTCAAAGAAAAAAAGTTATTTTTTGTTTTTATCTAAGACATTTCGAGAGCCGCAATACGGCCTAACAGTCTAATCTAAAAACTAAAAGGTTCCCGATAGGACAGCGGTAAGTCTTTGGACTTACAATGCTAAAATCAGGGGTTCGATTCCCCTCGGTGGACACAGCAGGTAACCCGAGAGCAGTACAAATATTCTTAAAAAGCCGCAGATTGCCGACCCCTGCCCTAGTTTATTATCTTGTTAACACCAACAGTAGACATACTCAAATTCATTGCAACTAGTTTTACAGATGAGGGCGTTGTTCTGAGTTAGCTTAGGTTGTGGTCTCGACACTTGTTACTGTCCTAAAACCTCCTGGGCGAGTTTAACGTTTCATTAAGGGAACACTGAATAATTTTTTCTTCAAAATGTTGTATCTTTTGTCTCTACATCATTGAACAATCTTGTTGTACAAACATCCTCCGTCAGAAAGGTCTGTGGTGAAATATTCGAAAAAGGACAAACATTCTTTGTACATATATTGTTTGTATAATATCATTATTTTTTTAAACAACATTTACTTAGATTTAATTTTCAGAAGAAAAATTAATAAGCATTTACAGTTATATGACAGTCATTCAGCTAGTCGTTATGATGAAGTGCAATTAACCCATTGTAGTTATGATCTATGAGTCAATACCAATCAGCTATTTTTCGTTTTGTTTGTTTGTTGTTAAGCGCAATACTACACAATGGGTTATTTGTATCGGGCCCATCACAAGTATCGAAACCCGGTTTTTAGCATTGCGGGCCCCCAGACCTTCCGCTGAGCCACTGGGGACGGGGGGGGGGAGGCTTCCACTTGAACCTGATAACAATATTATCTATAATTGATTGCAGCTGTCTATTTAACTCAAGTAAAAGTTCTACATGATTGCTTACTTTACTGTATAGACTTATTATTACTTTTATAATAAGAATTTGAAATGGAAAAGCTTAAACATACTTCCTTTCCTTTTCGGCCCGGCATGGCCAGGTGGTTAGGGTGCTCGACTCGCAATCTGCGGGTTTGAATCCCCGTCCCACCAAACATGCTCGCCCTTTCAGCCGTGGGGGCGTTATAATGTTGCGGTCAATCCCACTATTCGTTGGTAAAAGAGTAGCCCAAGAGTTGGCAGTGGGTGGTGATAACTAGCTGCCGTCCCTCTAGTCTTACACTGCTAAATTAGGGACGGCTAGCGCAGATAGCCCTCGTGTAGCTTTACGCGAAATCCGTAACAAACAAACAATTCTTTCCTTTTAAATTGTCCCTCAGTGGCTCAGCGATAAGTCAAGACTTATGACACAAAAATCTGGGTTCATTACCCGTGGTGGGGACAACAGAGGTATCCCGTGATGTAGTTTCGAGTTTTAATTTGTTACAGTAAATATAAGTTATTTTATATCTTATCTCAGTAGTCAGTTCGGATTTTTTTTAATTAACTTCTCATTATTAAAGTTATTGAACTTTAAAAAGTAAAGTTCAGTACTTTTTTACATTGAACTAATCGATATAAACGAATGTATGTTTGTTTTTTACAAGGAATGACTCAAACTAACTTTTTACTCTTTCAACAAACATTAATTTTTTACTCGCACCATTTTGTTTCCTTCTACAGCATCAAGATTGTGTATTAGATTGTCCCACGGAGAATAATTGCAAGCCACAAACATGCTGTGGGCCTCGAAATTTGAAAGAAAAGAACGCCACATCAAATAAATCAGACACAACCAACTTAATAACGCCACCTATATCTTATAATCAACAGATAAGTGACATCTCCACTGCCGAAGGAAATGGTCCATATGATACAGCGTTGATGGTTGGTTGTTATGGGAACTTCAAGAAAATAACTGATGCTGAGTGAAATCAATGTTAGTTTGTGAAGACGGAACCAAGTGTAGTAACGTTATGGAACACTTCATGCTACAAAGTAAATCCGTGTATACAGAGACTGAATAATAGTTTAATTATTTTCACTAAGTCTGTTAAAACAGCGAAATATTTATTATCAAGTGAATAGTTACAAACTAATATATATATAACAGATATCTTGTGTTTTGGGATGTAGGTAGAGCGTATTATAAAATTGGTTCATATTTCGATGTATTGTTGAATAATGTTTTTTCTGTCAAATGTATGTTTAACATTAATGGTCTCTACATCACAAATTCTCTTTTTAACCTTATCTTTGGTGAGAAAGAAAAGAAATATATAACATATGAAGGTATATTTGCTTCATTGATTCAATATTATTGGCCCCCAGTGGCACAGCGGCATGTCTGCGGACTTACAACGCTGGAAACCAGGTTTTGATACCCGTGGTGGGCAGAGCACAGATAGCCCTTTGTGTAGCTTTGTGCTTAACTTCAAATAAACAAACAATATTATTGGCATTATGAAATACAAAACTGAGGTCCGATTAGGTTGTGTCTATAGTTTAGACGTTTCGGCAGTAAAGTTAAAAAAAACAACACAAAAAACTTTACTCTCTAGATAATAAAACTTTTTTTAAAAATTTAACCAACGTTTCACCATTGTAGCTTCATCCTAACTTTATTGTCATGATGTGTACGATTATTTACGTTGATGTAAAGTTTTTATGGTAGAAATATTCTGTATTTGGAGAAATGTACATTAAAAATTGATAACAAATCTGAATTTTCAACTTGAACGGCACCTCATGTGCTAACCCTCTGCATCAGAGATCCCTAGTATTCAATTATAGTCGCCATTAATTTTGAATTACTAACAGCCAGAAGCACCAGCCGCCATAAGGACTTTCTCTACCTTTTGAATCAAATTATGGATAGAATATCAGGTTATGACACACTTTCACGACACGATCACCACCGAAAGCGTGGATCATGCTTAGTGACAACACGTTTCAACTTTTGACATGATAGCCACTTTGCTACACTCATCACAAGTTGATTAGGTAAGATGTAATATGTTTAGGATCATTTTAATTTTTATTACATTGTGTGTAACATGCCTAGATTAAAAAATGCATTTATATTTTAGAATACATATCATATAGTGTTAATGTGAATATGTCAGGTCTATATATGTATATATAAATATATAGGTTTGGCAGATTCTTTACAGTAGGTGTCAGTGATTTGTTAGTGATAAATTTCAACAATAAACAAACAGTCCACTTGTTTCAGAAAAATATATTACAACAAGTCAAACGTATTATTTCCCCGCTGATTTCTCCAAGCCCGTTCCATTGGATGTGGTTTCGCTAGATAGTAGATAGGGACAGTGGGAATCTCGTTATATTGTTGGTTATCACAGTTGTATTCAGAGCCTTAAATAATTGTCTCTTTTCGTCGAACGTCCACACCGGTTTGTTCACTTACTTTAGAACACAGCTGACAAGACGAATTATTATTCTCTACTCTGATATTACAATATAATCTGTACAATACAATCTATGACAATTCACTTTAAAAATTGCCACTATACGCTCTTTATTGCTAAACTCATAATCACGCAGTCTAGATTACTCTATCTATCAATATAACTATATAAATAACTTTATCGTCATGTATACATACATATATATATATATATATATATGTATATATATACACACACACGACAGAAGTCTCGAACATTCTACACACTACTAGACATTATGATGATGCAACAATACTCAATTAAAACGAGAAAAATTAGTCAAATCACAACAACTAAAGTACACAACTGTGTGTATAATTCATACATAGTTACGTAAACAAACCTACGATAAACTGTCGCTTTTAAAGATAACTAAATTTAACACTCATACTATGCTTAAACCATTTAATTTACAATAATCGCATTAATTTAAAAATTTATAGATCTAACAGAATATAACTTACAGGGTTTTGTAGAATTCTTTTTTTCCCACAATGTAACCAGTTTCCATGATATTTTGAATTTTTCTACATTTCGGATAACTCGTGAAGTGAGAAAGTTGTAATTCCTCATCGGTGTCTAGGTGAACTTCAAACAAGGTTATAAACAAAATGAAAAATGTTTTAACATGATAATAATTTCAAGTGTTTCCCATTATCCTAGACACATGAAATAAAATATCAACTGTATCATTTGTTTAATAATTTGCCAAAACCCAATGCAGTATACTCGTAATTTCTTATAGTAAATGTTAACCTTATTAATATCACATGTTCACAATACTTCCATCATAGAAGTCCCTAACTTTATCAATACTTTGTAATCAGTGTTGAAATAAGGTGGTGTACAGGGAGGAATTTTCCCCTGTACAAAAAATTCTCCCTGTCAAGATTTATAGGGCCAGATTCTTTACAGTAGGTGTCTGTGACTTGTTAGTGATAAATTTCAACAATACACATTACACAATCCACTTGTTTTAACATCATATATTCAAAACAAGTCAAATGTATGTAAAAAAATTCGTTACACTATTTGTTACCACAGTTGGATCCAAGGCCTTAAATAATTGTCTCTATTTCATCAAAGTACACAAAGGCAGGTTCAATTTTTTAGAACACCCTTTTTTAAAAGACCAATTATTCTCCTCTACTCTGTTGTTAGAATACAAGGCTGGGATACTCACTTTAAAATCACCACTATAACTGTTGGTTACCACAGTTGTATCCAGAGCTTTCAATAATTGTCTCCTTTTCGTCAAAGTCCACACAAGCAGGTTCAGTTACTTTAGAACACCCTCTGACAAGACAAACTATTCTCCTCTATCTCTCTTATTACAATACAAACTGTGAAACACACTCAAAAATTGCCCTTTACAGCTAATTCATACACAGTTTAGCTTCACTTTTACTTTCACAAACTTGGTCGCCTATATATATACACCTGGAAAAAAGTTAACACCCCCCGTT